GAGAGAGAGAGAGAGAGAGAGAGAGAGAGAGAGAGAGAGAGAGAGAGAGAGAGAGAGAGAGAGAGAGAGGCCATAGCTGCATCCAGTTGAGATCCATTGTGTGTGTGTGCGGCTTAGCCGCTGGAGACAAACACTTCTTGTATATTGATAATAATTTTGGAGACGACATCTTCATGTGTGATTGTATCTCGGTTAGGCTTCGCACGCGTGAACTCTCATGTGAATGTTCATCGGTGTATGCGAGGTGGAACTTGACGAGTACTTGGTTCATTTCAGTGGTATCGGAGCTGGTTCCTGCCGCACCTACTCAGAGTTGAGGCGCTGGCAAGAAGAAGGCCGGCGGGCGATACAGAAATAATAATATAGCAAAGTGCGCTCTTTTAGTTCATAGTTATGTGACAATATATATCGTCAAACATGTTTGACGATATATACGCATAGATTAGGTCTGTTTGGAGTTGAGGGCCAAAGGAGAAGCGGCAAGATTTGAGGAAGCATACCTGCGATCATGGAGCATCACCGATGGAGTGTTGAAAACATAGTGAAGTGCTTCTTGCCCGGCCCTTGTCTTTCTGGAATTTGTCTGTTGTGAATGGTACCCTCCCACGTACTTTCCTGGAGACCTCTGCTGCAATTAGGTTGACCATTGGCATCATCTGGTCTCTTTCCTGTTGTCGAAGTCGTGCAAGTCTGTGAATGCATGGTCTAGGACTAGGGTAGCAACTCGCCAGCTGGAGGTATCCCCATGCCTAGTAGGGAGCACGGGCAATGAGTGGCAGGCTCTCGTAAAACAACCCTGCTGTGCCCAATGACCGGTTCTGACTGGCATGCAACCGAAGACTCGAAGGGACACTGTGAGTTGTAGAGGGCAGTAGGGTTCGCCAGCTGTATAGTGCACGGGAAGAGTAAGGGTGAGACGTCAGGTCCACCAGTTGAGGACGCCAGTGAGGGACCAGTCTAAGTGTTGAGAATGATCCTTCAGGCTTCGTGGGCACAGCGTCCTGTTTGCGTCGTTAAAGAATTCTTGAGGTCTATGCTGACTGACCTTAACTGCTGCTTGTCCACCGGCTGTTAGGGAATCGTAGTGACATTGTGGGGAAGGGAATTAGGTTGTCAGACCCTGAGTTAGGTTGAGATTAGTGTGAGTGGCAAGGATTAAGTCTTGAGGAGTAGGTCTAAGTGGTGATATGTGGAGCCAAAAAAAGGACTCGAATGGACAATGCATCGTCAGCAAAGCATCAACAAGCAATGTACATCCAGATACATACGAAAATATCAAAGATATGACCTGACCTGTCAGATACTGACGCGACACCCCATCATACACTGAACATGTGAGAGGGAGAGGAGGGACCGCATACATAGAAGAAAGGTCCCTCCTTGAGCACGCACATGGGGAGATACCACGGATGAGGAGATGGGGGAAGACGCGAGACGAAGATGGACAGGAGGGAGAAGACGAAGATCGCGATAACAAAGTCCAAAAATAATCCCCCCCCGCAGAATGTCCCATCAATGTCTGCCACAAAAATGTCGAATCAGATCCTGGGCCTAGTAGCCGATGTAACCTCTGCCTGTAGACTCTGAAAGAAGAAGAAGAAGAAGAAGAAGAAGAAGAAGAAGAAGAAGAAGAGGGGGAGAAGAGATGGGGGAAGAGGCGAGACGAAGATGGAGAGGAGGGAGAAGACCAAGATCGCGATAACAAAGTCCAAAAATAGTCCTCCCGAAGAATGTCCAATCAATGTCTGCCACAAAAATGCCGAATCTGATCCTGGGCCTATTAGCCGATGTAACCTCTGCATGTAAACTCTCTCTGAAAGAAGAAGAAGAAGAAGAGGAGGAGGAGGAGAAGAGATGGAGATGGAGGGCGAGAACTGTAAGAGGAAGAAGATGTCGCCCTCCTTGCCGTCTCACCTGCAGGTAACTGCCACCAGCGTGTCTCTGATGCAGGTCTCTGGCGTGAAGTCCAGCTATGACGCCCATGTAAGCACCACCGCTGCAGGTATGGTGTGGCATACTGCGCACCACACAGGCCTGCAGGGCCTGAGCAGGCGGAATAAGGGCCCTCCAGGGCCTGTGTCGTTTCAGCCTGAAAGCCTAAAAGGAGGGCCAAATTTAGGCCCTCATAAAGTCGACCTTTCCTGAAACTTAGGCACCAGACCAGGGATAAGCACAGGCCACTTTTAGGCCCGTTTCAAGATGACCTTTTTTTCGAACTTCAGCGCCAGGGTCTGGCACGATTCGGCATTGGCAATAGCAGCCTCCCAGCCGGACCAGCACTACATAGTACTGGTCCGCCCAGGAGGCAGCAGGCAGTCCAGGAGGTAGTCTTCAGGATTCGGCAGCAGCACTCTTTGGAGCACTGCAGTAGTAGTAGCTAGGAGTAGTCTTCAGCGCTGGGCGCTTAGAGTAGTGTTAGAGAGGGAGGAGATTGGCGGAGGCCAGGGACTTACCTGGGAGCTTACCTGTGTCGCCATCACTCCAGGTTCGTCGTCGAGGTACCTGCAGCAAGGCGCCACCTTCACAGGTTAGTACCGGTACCAGGAGAAAGAGAGAGAGAGTTCTTCTTCTTCTTCTTCCTCCAGTCTACCATCTCTCCCTCCCCCTCCAGCTACATGACTTCTCTGTATTGACAGACTGCGAGAGAGAGAGAGAGAGATTTGTGACTTTGGGATCGAGACATTGGCGGGGGACTATTTGGGATCAATATCAACGACATTGGTGTTGACGACATTCTCATCTTCTCCCTCCTTCTCGTCTGATCCCCTCCTCTTCGTCTGTGTATGCTCTGGGCCTGGCGCATTCTTCCTGTGTGTAGCGCCAGGCCTCTTCACACCTTGCGATGATGATGATGTATATTTGGTCTGCATTGCGACATTGATTGGTCTGATCATTGGTATTTTAGCCTTCCGCTGTGCTATCCTGTACTATGTGAGAGAGGTCGGTTCTTGTTCTGGTCTGCACCGTTACGGTATGCAACATATGGCCACCGCCTCAACGTCTACCTACTCCACTACCTCTAGCGCAGGGCTGTGTCGCGCTGCTCCAGCAGCATGTCGCCCAAGAAGTGAGCTACTCGAACTGTGTGTCTGCCCTGGCCTGGCCCAGCTATATGTAGCGTTGGGCCTCTCTGGTGTGCCTCTGGTCCTGGCCTGAAACGACCTGCCTGGGTCCCTGCCGGACGTCGGGGCCCTCCCTGCTGATGCAGCAGGGAGTGTCTGCTACTGGACGAATATGAACCTGGCCGAAAGGGCCTGAGTGCAAACAAAGAAGGCCCAGAACATGAACTTTGTACGAACAGACCGAATTGTCTGTTTGGAAGTCCGAAACGACGCCTGCACAGACAAAATTAGGACAGCAAATAAATGCTGCCTCAAATCGAATGTAGGATTTGAACCTACAACAATGAATTGGCCCTAAGGCTGGTCGTGGGCCTCCAGGGTACATGTCTGAATGGCCTGCGGCCTGGGGGCCCCCAGCAACCGTCGGGCCCCCGAAATGGGGCCCATGTCCAGGCTCAGCATGTAACAATGGTGAGCAGGTTGAGTCAACTTACCTATGCCGACCCACACCATGGACGACTACCCGATGTTTGGCTTCTTGGCCATGTTTGTGATATGGGGGCGCATACTCTGATTTCTCTTTCCGCTGGGGTTTGCTCGGACCTTTGGCATGCATGTCGTTAGTTGCTCCGAAGCAGTCCACCCTGCCCTACACTGCCGACCAGCAGGCCGAGATTGATAAGAGGCTGGCGGAGGAGGAGGAGGAGGAGAAAAAGGAGGAGAAAAAGAGGAAGCAAGAGGAGGAGAAAGTTGGAGAAGGTGAAAAAACACTTGGAGGAGAAGTGAAACGGTCTCACCTAGATTGAGCGACAGTGCAAATCCGAGGGCTTGATCCCTGGACCTATCCATACCCGTGCACAGCTACGCGTAGACCTCGTGAGCCTCAAACGCACGACCTGGCAGTCAAAGGTTAATGCTTTGTTCGTCAGTTGGGTCAACATGATTTGAATCGTAGTCCTTACTAGGAATCGTCTTAGGAGTCAGTCTATCAGTCGAGCCTACCGTAGTTGAGTCAGGAAGGGAGAACTAGCCCTAAGGCCCAGCGAACGGTCAGTCTACTTAGCTAGGAGTTCCTGGAAGTCGTTAATTGACTCTTCGGGACTGTACGGGTCAGTGAGCAAGTACCAAGCGGTATATTTCTCGTAGGATGAATACGCGCTGGCCAACAGCTAAGTCTCTACTCCCACGACTGAACTCGGGCGACTTTGAT